ACTCCAACACAAAAATTATAGTGTAATAAGTTTAATTTTATTACGTTTTGTTAATTACAACGCTGAATTTAACGCTAACTTTATTTATTTTATTTCATCTTATTTATATATTTATTTATTAATTCACAAATGTATTTTTTATTTATTTATGTCTTCACACATTTATTGTTTATTTTATTCATAATTTAAACATTTATGCATTCACTCATTTATTTGATTAATTATTTTTTTTAAAATTCTTTTATAATTTAATTCATTCCTTTATTTAATAATTTTTTGTATTAATTAATCAATTTATACAATCTTGAACTAGCTTTTCCAAAGGACAGAGGCACACGATTATTTATTTTTCTTCATTAATTCTATAGCTAAGACTTACTGTCTTTCTTTCTAATGGAATTAGGTGCAGAACTGTAGCCCTCTGAAAAATATGTATTGACAGTGCGGTCTGTCAAAAAAAAAAAAAAAAAAAAAAAAAAAAATCGGAGACCTACAGTTCTGCAGCTATAATGGAATATAGAATAACTTTAAATGCGATAATAGAATTATTTTATTTTAATATTCTTTCTTTAACAAGTAAATTCATTATCAATTAGACCTACAGTGAATTTGTTTATTGTCCTGTCATCTGTCGTTGATGGACTTTATCAGGAATAAATAAATAATTGTTAGAATTCGTAATTGCTGTCTTGCGGTTTTATGGTACCCTACAAGGTGGTTTTTTTATCATCATGCTGGGTGCATATGTTTATGCGTAAATTGTCGATTTCACAGATTGACAACAAAATATCTCCTTTAGTCTTTAGACAAAAAAAATGTCAACTTTTACAAAGATGTGTTCAGTCAGATTATTATATAAATAAGAATTTGTTCCCACTTGTTATTACATTGAATAAAAACTCATTTACATTTACTGTAATACTTCCTAGCGATCACAATTTTAGGCAAGATGACTAATCCTAAATGTATGCATTTTCACAATCAAGTAAATTTTAACTTTTTAGAATTAATTTTTCCCCAAATTACATATGTTTTCTCTGTGCAACAGTGGCAGCCCCCCCCCCCCCCCAACATTAACATGTTTATTATAAGAACGTAAAATTAATGTAGTGATATGATGCATGGATTTTTAATTTAAAATGTCCCGATTGTTACAAACATTTTTCTGCATTATTTTCTCTTGCGTAAATATCTATGTGCATACATGTAAAAGACCTCATAAATGTCTCCTTAATAATAAAACGGAAGTACTGAACAGTCGAAAGATCATTTTAGCTAACATGAGATCGAGTCATATGTCTTTGCCCTTCCAAAAAGCTAGTTCAAGTTTATGTTATAGTTGGAATATTTTTGTTTGTGCTTAAAATTTATTATCTCTGGTATTACAATTGAAACTGAATGCCATGGATAAAATACGTATAAAAATGAGATGATTTTTTAAATTGAATCCAAGATTGTAAACTTTTAGAGACAGTAGATTATTTGACATCTACTTAGATTATTAAGATATTACAAGTCCTGAACAAAATTTTATACAGTCCTGATAATGTATTCTCTATTTCATAAAATATTGTGGTAAACACAGCAGATTACATTATATTAAAAAGGGAGGTGGGTTTAAATAATTTTTCTTACATTAGATTCATACAAGTAAGAATCGTTTTAATGGTGCAATATATTAGTACTGGACTTTTGCGAAGACACTGACTTTTACAGTTGACGGCTTACTTTTACACCAGGAAAATATGCGGGAGCTCTTTTGTGAAAAAATATTGATCTTAATATTTAACAAAAAGATAATAACGGGCTATTTCAAAGATCATAATACGTTGTCTAGGACGAAAACGGCAATATTCCTACCCTCAACACCCCCCCCCCCTTCAAGTCTTGACTAACTTCTGCCGAGTTTTCCCACCGAAATGTGTCTTCTTCTTTATTCAGTTATAATTTCATTTCTTAAATTATTTAAAATAAAAGGATATATTAATTCTCGTCAATAAAGTATCCAAAAAATGTAATTTACCATCAATTATAATTTTTTGTTTAATAAATTATTTCTAAGCCCCGAATACAATAACTTTCACCTCGTGAGATGTTTTCTATTTTCTTTTTTCAATTCCGTACCTCCGTACATGACGCAGGTTTAAATGTCCAAGTAAGCTGTCGAATGTAAAAGTAAGTCTCTTCATAAAACTCCACTTTAAACATATTAAAATTTACTAGCCATTTCCGGCGTAAGTTGTGGAGGTGTCTATTGCCACACCGAATAAGTTCCTTTTCGATGTCTTATAATTCATTTTCAAGAGATATTTTTTTCCGTTTACATTCCCGTTAATTCATGTGGTTTGGCTACTTTGTCAATCTTGTATACTTTGAAAATATTGCATTTTAGGTTTTTTCATATTGATAGCATTTTACCGTCATTATTTTCTTCGTGTTCTTATTATTATAGTTTTAAAATATACAATTATTGAATTCAAAATAAATATTGGTAAATATTTACGTACTTTTACTTGTGTATCTGGTTTCATAATTTATTTTTTGAAGTATCCTTTGTTTTCTAAAAATTATCTATTTTTAGCTGCAGAACTGTAGTTTTCCAAAGAGAAAAAGTATTGAACCGGTCTGTCAAAAAAAATCTTTCCGGAGAGCCATGTTCTGCAGCTATTATTCTATGTCATGTCTATTTTCTCCCTTTTTTTCTCTTAGATAAAAATTGACATATTATAATTTAAAACTGTTTTATTTTTATTCCAACGTATTTGTATCGCCAAACAAAATCAATCAATAAAAGCAACATTTTTTTGTATTATATTTCTAAAATTCGAGTTTAATCAGTATCTATATAATATTCAGATTATAGACAAAACTTCATCATCGGCTATGGTAAAAATTAATTCTTTTAACAAATAAATCTATTTAAATTGAGTTTAAATTTTTCTTTCAAAATTATTACCCTTAACAGAGGAGGCCTCCACGTAGCAAGGGCTGGACAATGGTATCAATTTATTTTCATTAATATCAAATATTAAATTTTCCACTGTAAAAAAAATTCCGATACATTCTTTCGTTCGAATTTTATTGTTCATAAATTGATAAAATTCATTTATTTTACGAGACAAAAGTTAATAACACAAGAATGGAAATGTAAATAATTATATGACCAGATGAAAAATGGGGTGAAATGACCCAGGAAGGAGAGAGAAATGACCTACCGTGAAATGACCTACCGTGAAATGGTAGGAGAGAGAAATCACCTGGGAGAGAAAAAATTTAAGAGAGAAATGACCTGACACACCGATACAATGACCTTGTCAGCAAAACAGTCTATCATTTAGTCAAACATTCCGACATTTTTCATACCAATTATTACTTAATTATTTAACACACTGAATTGTCGACAATTTTTCCCCTTATTTTCCGATCATATCAAGGAACATATGGTGGGTGTGACCGTTCGGCAAGGGATGCTCACTCCTCAGTGACACCTGATCCCAACTCTTTTAAGTTTTAGAGGCTTGCAATGTTTGCTATGCCCCTGATTTGTATCGTTTGAATTGACTTCAAAACTACTGTTCTTCATTTCCGTATATTTCTTGATAATTATTGGAAATTCTCCATGATATCTATTTTAGATTATATACATGTACATCTAAGTGCAATCTATAAAAACCGTCATACAAGTGAAATTTGATAAACTGAATAAATGTCTTTAACAATAAATTAATTAATAAATAACTTTTTATATACGGTTGTATAAAAACACGTAGACTTAGTGAATCAAAAAATGAAATCAAAATTGTAATTCGGCGAATGACATCTAGCTGTTTGGCTAATAAGAATCGAAATTTGACGTTTTTTTTTTTTTTACAATGCATATATAATTTAAGCAGTTTTATACAATGTAATTGTAATCTGTGTGTCGCAAACTTTTTTCCGTCCAAATAACCGGTTAACCGAACAGATAAAATTTGTTGTCATTTTAATTTTCACCGTAGAAAATTAATCTTTAATAAATATCTTCATTAAAACTTAAAGTTTGGACTTAAAAACTTAAAAACGTTCAATCATTTATATTTATGGAGATTAGTTAAAAAAAAAATTATTTCAGAGTACGGAAGGTAAAAGTACGGAAGCCCTGGAGGGACATCGTCTTACTTGTTATGACTTATCTGTTATTACTTTTTTGTTTTGACTTATTTGTTGTTAATGTTTCGTAGCTAGTTATAATCAAGTGTAGGGAAGCTATTGAAAACCTGTTGCTTGGCTTACTTTTCTGATAAAAATGATAGTTAGTCCTATTTTAACTGTGGTTTTTTTTATTATCAAATTGTAGTTTAACGTCTAGTACAGTTGTGATTTCTAAAGTAAATATTCTTTTTGTTGTTATAACTTAATTCTTATTTTCTAAAAGTTATTACGTAATTCTTATATGTATAACTTCCAGTTTGCATGATGATTGACAAACTGACAAACACTACTATGTATTTCATTTTGTCGTTAGTAATAAATTCAAGGACTTTTTTCTGAAACTACAGTATTACGTTGTTTTCATCTTTCACACCACTTTTTGTAAACTAAACTTGTCATAACAAATTCAAAATAACAAGAATTCAAAGTTAATTCATAAGAACTAATTCAAAACACATAAGAAATAAGTTAAAACACATAAGAAATAAGTCAAAACACATAAGGAATAAGTCAATATCTCTCAAGGGCGTCCGTAATTAACAGATGAAAATTTAGTAATCACATCACTCTTGTACGTTTAACTACAAAACTACAATTCATCGTTCTCAATAGCTTACCTACACTTAGTTAGAAGTAAAAAAAAAATCTCAAAACAAATAAGTCAAAACAAAAAAGTTATAACAAATAAGTCATAACAAGTAAGTCAATGTCCCTCCAGGGCTTCCGTATAAAAGGAATATAAAACTTGAAAATACTTTCTGATTCATTTGTAAATAAACTGCTTTGAAGGAACAAAATCGAATATCATTCTGAAAATTTATTTTAAAAGCATTCTTTAAATAATGTTTTCTTTTCTCTAAGAATATTTGAGAACAATACTGCAGCAATCACGTCTGTAATAATCATCTGCTTCGTAACTATGGCATTGAAACCTGCAAAGTAGAAGTTTGTATTAATTACAACATCGTTAAAACATCCTTCTTTTAAGAAGAAATTATTTTCTGATATAGAAGTAATATAATCTGAACTCAACTGAAAATTCATTCGGATACATACATTTTCTTATTAGCAACAAAATTTCTTGCAGCAACAGATTCCTACGATGACAACCACAATAATCACAACGAAACCTATGACCCAAGCCCATCTTCAACGAAGAAAAAGATAGATCATCTTGTAAATGTAACTGCAATTTTATTTCATGACCGTTCGTATACGGCGAGTTTTTGCATATATCACCGTGTGAAATTGACTGTTTTACTTTAAATTCATTTTGGACTCTAAATGTTTATATCTAATTTTTGTTTTAATATCATTTCTAATCTGAAATTATTTCCTTTCACAAATTGGATTTTTCCTATCTTTCTTAGCTAAGTTACTAATTGATAATTCAATTACTGAGTGACACTTGTCAGCTACTAAAGGTGTTTATGCCCAAGGACTTTTTAATCACTTTTACAAACAACATGTAATTATTCAATTATCGGCCTTCTTTATGTCCATGTCATCAAAGCATTTAATTATTTGTTTACTGTATCACTTTAACTCATTGTCAACACCTGTCATTTTTAACTCATTGTTCATTTTTTTCATAAATACCATTGTCAAATTTTACTTATCAGTTCGGAGGCCCGACGCATTACTGGCCACTTCCGTCTGTGTTCCCCGTTTGTATTTCTTGAATCTTAAAATTGTTGTCCATCATTTAATTACATGCGTTCATTAATAAACTCGGAAACCAGATTACTCGTTACTTTGGACTTTTATATGTGTTATCGGGAAGAGTCCTTGGAATACGGCTCTACTACTTCCGGCCAACGACGCCACTCACTTCCCCTGCCAACATTCCCTCTTGCCCGATCAACGACACATCTTTTAGACCCAAACTACGTGGTTATAATTGGTGGAGATATCCTAAGGGTAAAACAACGCCCGGGGCTGCTGCATATATTTTGCAGTAGTTTGATCCTGTACCTAAACCAAGCGAGTTTCTCCACGTTATGTGGACTTCTCAGCATGATGATGGACAACTTCCAACTTCGACCATCTTGGACGTCACGGACTTTCCCCACAACGAATAGTGAAAAACATCCACACCGTTTCACTAAGTGCTTTAGATGTCACAGACCTGGACACTTTGCCAAGAACTGCAATTTTCACAGCTCTCAGAAGTCAAAGTCGCATCAGGTACGTGACCGACACAGAATTCAAGAATACTTCGAGCAAAAACAGCTCCTTAAGGAACTTCCCTTTCACAACATTAGAGATTCGGCCCTGCGTAAGTTCATGAACTTTTCATCTGTTCTAAAACATGAGCTTGCCAAAACAAGAGAAACTGTGAAAGACTTTCGGAACCAATTTTCAGTATTAATTTCAAAACTTAGGAAAACAGAAAGTGAATTGAAGTCATCCAAGATTCAAAATTCTGTGCTACAAGAAACTTCTAAACAAGAAATCTCAGAACTTCAATCTAAACTGAAAACAAACATCCAAGAAAATCGTTTGAAACACCAAGTTGAAGACCTGCAGAGTCAACTGAACGGATCCGACCAAATTATCAAAATGGCTTCTGATCGGATACAAGACTTAATTCGGGAAAATATTGAGCACATAAAAACAATTCAAAACCATAAAGAAGAAATAACTGCTTTAAGTTCTCGAAATTCTGCCTTGGAATATGCCAGGTCAAATCATTGTGAGGTTATAGATGACTTACGTGAGGCTAATCGTCGAAATATTCGAAAAATAAAACACCAAAAAGAAGAAATTGAAGACCTACGACATCAAACTTGTGATTTAGAACATGCCATAAAACAACACCGCGAAGTTATCGACGACTTACTTAATGAACTAAATCCGAATCGTAGCAGACACCACAGACGCAATCAGAACAGGGACCGCCGCTACTACCGGTGACCTGAGTCCATTCCAAACACGAGGACGTGTTTTTCCCGGACCGGTGGGAAACTATCACCGTGTGAAATTGACTGTTTTACTTTAAATTCATTTTGGACTCTAAATGTTTATATCTAATTTTTGTTTTAATATCATTTCTAATCTGAAATTATTTCCTTTCACAAATTGGAATTTTCCTATCTTTCTTAGCTAAGTTACTAATTGATAATTCAATTACTGAGTGACACTTGTCAGCTACTAAAGGTGTTTATGCCCAAGGACTTTTTAATCACTTTTACAAACAACATGTAATTATTCAATTATCGGCCTTCTTTATGTCCATGTCATCAAAGCATTTAATTATTTCTTTACTGTATCACTTTAACTCATTGTCAACACCTGTCATTTTTAACTCATTGTTCATTTTTTCATAAATACCATTGTCAAATTTTACTTATCAGTTCGGAGGCCCGACGCATTACTGGCCACTTCCGTCTGTGTTCCCCGTTTGTATTTCTTGAATCTTAAAATTGTTGTCCATCATTTAATTACATGCGTTCATTAATAAACTCGGAAACCAGATTACTCGTTACTTTGGACCTTTATATGTGTTATCGGGAAGAGTCCTTGGAATACGGCTCTACTACTTCCGGCCAACGACGCCACTCACTTCCCCTGCCAACATTCCCTCTTGCCCGATCAACGACACATCTTTTAGACCCAAACTACGTGGTTATACATAGACAAAAGCTTTGTTCTTATCAATATCCAAAGCATTTCTACATAATTACATACATACTAATCTATAATATAATATAATAATAAGTGAATCTTTGAATCAATGCATATCAATTTAAAAATATTTCCCCTCATTAATCAGGTTATACTGTTGTCCCTTTCTAAGCAGAAAATTGTGGAAGAGGACTTTAAGAAAGAGCACTATTTAAAAGTTACTAAGTATTTATTTACAGTCGACTTAAAACTGGATTGAAACGCTTATAATCGTTACAAGAAGATAGGATTCATATATCTAGATTCATTGTGTTTACTAATAGGATATTTTGTGTGTTTTACTTACTCATCCTTATAATTTAAATATTAATTCTAATACAGTTACTTTAGCACAGAGAAACCCGTGTTTAAGTAGCTAAACATTCCAAACTAATTTAAATTATATCCTTTGATAAGCTCACAAACGAACGTTGAGGCAATTGTTTGTGAGCAGATCAAAGGATCTCATTTTAATTAGATTGCTAAACAGTCATAATCTGTAAAAGATTCGTTTATTACATATTCTTCGAGCCAAGCACCACAAACGTCCTTTCGAACCGTTTCAGAAGCACGCTTGGAGATGTCGCTGCAGCATTCCGTTCTCCCAACGCTGTGACAGCAGTAATCTTTACACCAATCATCTTCCACATCGCCCGTGATTATATTTTGAATTGAGCAACACTCTCCTCCCTCTCCAAGCCCTGAAAGTACATAATACTCTGTGTCTGCTTTGTATGTTAACAATTATATATGCACAATCATAAATGTTTATCACATACTCACAATAAAGTAAGTTCAGAAGGCACTTTTAGATAATTGTTATGTAGGAAAATGTTCTAAAATTCTAAAACTATTGAGCATGCATTCCAAATTGATTCTAAATTTAAAAAAAAGATGTTTTTGCATAATTATCAACTCAGTAATAAATATTATATATAGAAATTTCTTGAAAAGACAGACAATGCAATGAACTTTATGGAACAACAACACAATTGACTACTGGGTCATCATAGTTATACACTTCACTTCATTTTTAGCTCACCTGAGCCGACGGCTCAAGTGAGCTTTTCTGATCAAAATTTGTCTGTTGTCTTCGTTGACGTCGTTGTCGTCGTTTCGTTTTAAACTTTTTTACATTTTCATCTTATTCTCAAGAGCCACTGGGCCAGTTTTGACCAAACTTAGCACAAATTACATGTATCCTTGGGTAAAGGGAATTCAAGATTTTTCAAATGAAGGGCCAAGCCCTTTTTCAAGGGGAGCTAATGATGAATTAATGAAAAATTAATGGCATCTTTTAAAAATCTTCTCCAGAACCACTGGGCCAGGAAAGATGAAACTCATGTGGAAGCATCCTCAGGTAGTATAGTTTCAAGTTTTCTCTACCATGATTCGGGGAGAGGGCGGGGCCTCAATGGCTGATCTAAGTTTAACATAGGAATATATAGGGATTTTTCTGAAGTCTTCTTTTCCCGAACCATTGGACCAGGAAAGATGAAACTCTTGTAGAAGCATCCTCAGGTAGTGTAAAAGCAAGTTTGTTCAAATCATGACCCTCGGGGTAGGGCGGGGCTACAATGGCTGATCAAAGAACATGTAGGAAAAATCTTCTCAAGATCAGCAAAGCTATGATTGAGGATATCAGTATGGAAACATCCTAATTTAGAGTTAATTCAAGTTTGTTCATGTCATGACCCCATTGGGGTAAGGTTGGGCCATAATGGACAATCAAATCTTTACATAGAAATATACAGGAAAAATCTTAAAAATCTTATTCTCAAGTATGGCGAATTTATACATGTGTGCCTAATTGATATAGTGACATTTTCAAGTAAAAAAAAATTCAAATCCCCTCCCCCAACAAGCAAACTTTTCAATACTGAGTAAAATTTAATTTGTGTTTTTTTAACTAGCCCATGTGCTCAGGTGAGCGATGTGTTTAAAAAGGATTAGAGAAGTTTAAAAAAAAAGTATGCATTTAGATTGTATAATCAATTGAGTTCCCCCTTTCACCAGAAACCCGACCCCGAGGAGTTCAGGACGAGGCACTCTTGTTAATTCGAACTATGACTTGGTCTCTTTACATACATGTAATACCCAGGAGCCGAGAAGAAGATTTTCAGAAAAATAATGCACAATCACAATACATGTATGATTTATATACCACCAGAAGAACCAGAATCCCTGAGCCTTGGCCCATGCATTTCACAATAGATACCTTAATGTTAATTACCATCATGCCAACAAATGACTGATCAAAGAAGAAGATTTTAAAGTTTGCAATAATATGATGATTTAAGCCCCATCCTCGTGTCCAAATAAAGGGATGTTATTCATAATTTCTGTTCCTCTTCACCCATAGATGCTATGTTCTTAAAAATTGATTTAGCTGTTTCAGAAAAGCTGAAAATGTTCAAAATGTTAACGCAAGACGCACAACGACAAAAACATCTGGCAATAGGTTTCGGCAGTGGCCCAGGACACCCAAAAATCGTATTTTTGACAAGTAAAAAGACCCACGACATTGAAATAATCTATTAGAATTGGGAAAGTTGGCGTAATTTCTCAATGTTTGTCTATAAGTTTCAAATAAGTTATTCTTGGTTTTTTCTAGTATATAAACAGTTTCATTAATTATGACACAGAGTGCCTACATGAAAAAAAATGTGTTTGTTGCTGGGCGAGGCAACCTGGTTTTCAGTGATCATTCACAAGGCATACTAGTTTATACATGTAATATCAACTGTAAAATATTATGTTCGGAAATGAGGTGGTACATACAAACCCTATCCCCCTGAAACTACGTGCTTGCTTGCAAACCGTGGATTAAATATTCATTAGAGTTGACAAGTAAAAAAAAACCCAGCTCCATAAGTTGACTCTTTTGCTGTCGGGTGGAAGTAACTAGTGTAGGAAATATAGTCTATTAGACTCGGGTGGAAGTAATTAACTAGTGTAATAAATAAAGTGGATTTGTCTATTTATCACGTTAGTCATCCTTTTTATACCCCCCGCTTGAAAAGCGGGAGGGTATATAGTAATCGTTAAAATTTTCCGTCCGTCCGTCTGTTACGCTTTGGGGTACCCATCTCTTATCCGCAACTCCTCTTATACCACTGAATGAAATTTGATGAAACTTTCACAGAATCTTTATTACATATTGCCATTGTGACCTCCTTTTTTTACTTTTTGATCCGACACATATTTTGGGTTTCCCATAGCAAAACATGAACACTGCCATTTATACACATATGGGAGGCGGCAGGTATCATTTAGTGAGCCCATTGCTCACAGTATCTCTAGTTTCTAAATAAGATTTAGAACATCTATTACTTGTGTGATCCGTTTAAATTGAGTTGATACTCTTTGTAAATACTTGCTACAATCTTATTGCTTTGATTGTATCTTAACATTCAGAATACATGTATATCTGATGAGATATTATTATCTTCAGGTTTTAATTGTATCCCTATCACGATTGTTTACAAAGAGTGTAGATTATTTTAAATTACAAATTTCCTTTGGTACATTACTTTTGTGATTCTTCAAAGAGATTATACAATCACTAGAACAAACGCTAATATTGCGATAAGTGTAATTACAAGACAATTAAATAATGACTGTTACACAATAGAAAAGATCTGCTTCAACATCTTGATTCTGAACCTACAGGTAGAATGGTTAATATACATTTCTACTTCTAGTATCTACTGTGAAATCATCATTGTTAACAAAGGACCAGTGTTCTTAATGGTCACTTTTATCTACAAATCTACTTCCCCAAGAAGTTCTTTTGTCAATATATTTACAGTGTATTCTTTTAATCATCTGAATAAATTTTAAACAATATTTTTTTTTTTACAAATGATTAAAAAAGGATTGGACAGCTGTATGTCCTCTCCATTGTTCAAGGTTAAAATCAAACATGCACAAGTTTTTTGTTATATAACATAAATTTTATGCATGCCAAAATTTAATACATATATATATATATATATATATATATATATATATATATATATATATATATATATATATATATATATATATATATATATATATATATATATATATATATATATATATATATATATAAAAGTAAATGTATACTATATACAACAAAAATTACACAAAATGACTGAATATGCAGTTAAAACATAATTGAAACTAAGCTGATATGTTCGTAGTTAAACATGTTAATCAGATCAACTTTTGCTTACTACGAACATTGAACCCCCAAAATTTAAAGGGATTCCGATACAATTTGGCATCAGAAGCAGGTATAAACGCTCTATAAAATGACTATTCGTACAAGTTTGTTGCATGTTACACTGCAGATCTAAAAAAATTCTTTGGTTGATTCAGATCTATGGCTGTTTAATGAATTGGTTTTTAGCCGGGCTTTGCTGAAAGCAAAGTCCTGGCTATAGCCATCATGATCGACTGTCTTACTATAAATAGCACAGTAACCAAAAAGCAAACAGCGTCAAAGCGGACGCTTCCGATAAACAAAATAGTCCCATTGCGAGACGATATTCAAACAAATATTGTTAACATCCCCATCGTTGGAAAAGTTAATGGTCAATATTTTTGCTTGAGAATTAAAATCAAAGAGAAATTAGATTTTTGCATTATTGGGATAATCGTGATATAACAATTTGTACACATAAGCTGCTGAATGTACATTGTAAGCAAGCTATTTTCAATAGCGCGGGCTTTTCGAAATGTTGAAATTGTTGAAGAGTTTCATGTTTCATATCGTTTTTAGCCGAATTGGTGTTAGTGGTTTCATTCCATTTTGATTTTTAGCATACAGTTTTGGCATTCATAGTATAGTGAATTGGACTTTTAAGAATTAACAGGCGTGAAGTCGCTTGACAATGTGCACGAATCAGTGTTTCTACATGTAGTTGGCGATAAAAGTACTGTTTGTTTGAAACTAAAGGAATGTCTTTAAAATACACATATGCATTATTTTAACTATTCCAAGACTGAAATTTTAAATTATGAGAAAAATGTTTATTGAATAGAAAATACCGGTATGCGAGAATTTCGTGGAAATATTATTTATTAAATTGAAAAATCATAACATTCTTGGGGTCAGGACTGTTAATTTTGATAACTGGTATATGGGATATTGTTATAAATCATAATTATTCAAACTTTACCTGTTACAAGTAACAGCTTTTCAAAAAGCTTGCCTGACGTAATCAATCAATATCTGTAAGAGAAGTGAATAAACCTTTTGGGCAATACTTTTTTGTGTTTGAAATATGTCTTTTTATTTGATAACCTTGTAAAAAATTTAATTATTTAACTTGTAAAAGAACGATGCCTTTGCTGGATTCTGAAGAGTTGTTAACAGAATGGTTAATGTATGTGGGTTTTCTGCCAATCGCAACTCCTCGGTCCAACTCCTCGGGCCTTATCTAGGGAAGGAGACCACAAATGTATTGTTGATTTATACGCCATGACACCCCCCCCTTTTCACAAACTTTGAAATAAAAGCATGGATGATGTATATAGACGTATTTTCTGTGGAATATGGAGTTAACTTTATTCAATGTAATGATATTATCTAAAATATACTATAGAAGGGATTTCTAACTCCGTTTTTACTATGAACAGGAAATGTATAAATTTTTAACATCCGATGATGTCGATACATTCGAGTTTGTTTTTCGACCTCTGACGAAAAGAC